CCATTTTTAGCTTGCGAGACGAGATATGGTCTTGTAGTGTGCAATACTTTTCGATACCTCTCAGAATGTTTAAAGAAGGCGATAATGGTACGGGAGGTTGCAATGGCGCGCCGCCTCGTCCTCGAAGGATATTTCCTCGATTTTCCTTGCGAAGATTGTTGTATTCCAGTCCGCTAATCGGTCGTCGTATTACGAGAACGCCTAGCGCTAGTAATAGAAATGCAAAAGGTAACTTTTAAATTTTATTAAGATGCAACTGTAATTAGAATATTTCAAAAAAAAAGTATGCGGCTATATCATAGGTAAAGACCAAGCGAGCAGTAAGGTGACGGATGTTGAAAAGGGAGAAGCTAGAGTAAGCAACGGTTCGAGTCATTTTCAATTTCACAACATAGATCTCCAGCGTGCTTCCAGCAAAGGCTCCGTGCTTTCCTCTGCGGGAAAGGTATTAGTCTCAAACAAGATAATTTTTTTTAGAAAAAAGATTCTGTAAAAAATTTATTTACTCGTAATGTTTGCATTATTTCAGAGTAATGAGAACGGCATGATGGAATGCCCATTGTGCTTGGCCGAACTGCCAGGAGAATTCTTTCCTATCGTCCAGTCTTGCCACCATCGCAGCTGCTACGACTGCTTTCAACAATATCTGAAAGTGGAAATCTCTGAATCCAGAGTTAATATCGCTTGCCCCGAGTGTTCCGAACTGTTACATCCAAATGGTGAATATATTACTTTAACTTTACGCGCAATTCCGAATTTCTTTTCATAAAATTAACCTCCTGTCACTCACAATTGTCTGTGTTATATTTTTGCAGATATTCGGATGATCCTGAATGACCAAACGCAATTGGAAAAGTACGAGGATTTTATGGTTCGAAGAGTACTCGCCGTAGAGCCCGACGCAAGATGGTGTCCCGCTCCGGATTGCAGTTTTGCTGTGATCGCCAGTGGATGCGCCTCGTGCCCGAAATTACGTTGCGAGCGACCAGGTTGCGATTCGTACTTTTGCTACCATTGCAAGGCTAGGTGGCATCCTAATCAAACGTGCGATGCTGCCAGAGCACAACGATCTCAATATTACGAGCGTAGTTCCTCTCTAAGTTTCAGTCAAAGCGATTCTCAACATAGTAAGTTAAAACTGTATTACTTACGGAGTGACATTTTTCGTTTGTCCAACTGATGTTCAAATTATATTTATAATTCTTAATTCGCTTAGGAGATGATATAAAGCCGTGTCCCAGATGTCAGGTTTTGATCGTCAAAATGGATGATGGAAGCTGCAATCACATGACGTGTGCAGTTTGTGGCGCGGAGTTTTGTTGGCTCTGCATGAAAGAGATCAGCGATCTTCACTATCTTAGGTATCATCGTATTTTGAAAAAAAAAAAAGAAGCAAACAAACAGTAAATACATTAAATATGAATGCAGTTTTACAAACATTTTACTATTCTCGCAGTCCATCTGGCTGTACTTTTTGGGGCAAAAAGCCGTGGTCCAGAAAGAAAAAGATTCTTTGGCAACTTGGAACTTTGGTGGGAGCGCCAATCGGAATCGGTCTAGTTGCTGGTATAGCAGTTCCGGCCATGATCATAGGTTGGTTGTAATACATTCGAAAGGGGACATGTTACGGTAGCAGAGAAATATGTTACAACGTCGAGAAATTGCACTGAAAAGAAATGTATTGTTACAAACATCGTATATTTTGTGTTTAAGGTATACCAGTGTGGGTAGGACAGAAATTGTACACAAGGTATGAGAAGGCCAACAAGCACAAGAGAAACGCTTTTATCGCCGGAGGAGTTACTGCATCGGTGAGTTTCTTAAATATTTTTTATAATTATATCAAAAGTATCAATATTTTTATCAATGTTGATGAGATATTAACAAATCAGTATAATTACGTGTAGATATTACATACCTGTTGTTAACGGATCGCTTATGGTTTCAAATATTACGTTAAATTTGTGCCTCGCGAAAAACATTTCGATAATATGAATTATTTCGTTGAATTTCCATGAATTCCGTTTCGCAGCAAAAAAAAAAGAATAGAAATGAATGTATGTTCTTACTAATTGATGTAGGAACTCTGTTTGTTATTCGTGATAACATCGAAGTATATTTTATCCATAATATAGTTTATACAGAGAAAATGGATAATACAATAATTGTATATAGCGTTAACAAAACAGCACGCTCGCTGGAATAATTAGTCGGAAGAAGTTTATCACGGGACGTATTCGGGCAGATGGAACGTAACTGTTTTCATGCACATCTCGAAAATACTCTATAACTTTGATGCATGTCCTATAATAATAATCGCGAATCTAATTGATTCTTCATCTTAGCAATTATATCACAACTACTTGCCTAAATCTTTGACGACTTGGCACAGCACATTAAAGATGTACCTCAGTAATCGGAATTGAAAGACCGTATCGGAAAAATCAATATATCTGTTGATGAGAAATCGATATTTTTATTACGTAGCTTCTCTTAGAATATTTTCTTCCAATTTTATCTTACTTTTGAGACTTTCATCGAATCGCAAGTAAATCTTGCATGATCGTTAAAATAGCTTAGCCTTAGCCTTTGAGTAATAATCGACACGTTCTCGAAGCTTATACTAATGTATAACCGAGTATATCCATCGTGCCGTTTAAACATATTGATCTCGACCAATTTTGTCCCGCTCGTTTATAATATCTCGTCGCAAAGAGAAGAGATTGAGTAGCGCAACTTTCTAACGTCCACTATGTTCTTCCGACGTGCTTCTTTGCAACTATCTTTTTATCATTTACCCGCATTCGTGTTATTGCTGGCTTAAGCCTTCTTCGGATTGAAAACACAAAGACTGCGTCTTTATAAGCTATGGACTATCGAAGTGTCTATCGCTTCACGTAAAACTATTCGCCTCGCGTCACAGCCCGGATAGAAATATTAATTCTTCGGTGCATGCGCTAACGTTTAACGGTGGCAGTTGTGGATTAAGAATCGGCCTCATTCGTCGCGATGATGGCTTCGTCCGTTAGTACGCCGTCGTTATACAAATCTTCGAGGACGTCGATCAGTCGCTGCTCTGTGAGAGGATCACCGAGCGCGACGTCCACCGATCCGATACAAAGCAAAAGCGCCAGCAACTGCGACTTTCTGTAGTCCTTGTTGAGATCTTCTCTGGTGTAGCCCAAGTCCTTGGGGATGTTTAGGCCGAGGCGCGAGCATGTCCAGTTCAGCTTGTTCCAGTACGTGTCGAGGAGCGATTCAGTGTGCTTGCGACGTAACTCAGTGGGCACTGAACTCACCAACAACAATGCCACATCGTTCGTCGGCCGGCTGTAAGTGACCATTTGCCAGTCGAGGATGAAGCACTCCGTAACCCCGCTAACGTTCCTGAAAAGCAGATTATTGCTCCAGAAGTCGGTGTGCGTTATCAACGCCAGCGGGCCTTCCGGAGCGAGGAGGGCCGAGATTATGTCTTTGGTGCGCGGTCGTAGAACCAGCAGAGTCTCGAGCACCGCCTCCAGTCCCGGTCTGCTCTCGAGAAAGTGCGCCAGCTGCGGCAAGCCGCGCTCCACCAGTTGCTGATAGGAATCCGTCGCTTTCGCCGTTTGGAAGAGAAACGGATAACGCTCGGAGAGCGATTCCTCGTCCACGACTTTCAGCGACAGGGAGTGAGCGTGTATGCGGGCGATGGCGTCCAGCGCGACCGTCGCTTGATCCAACGTCAATCCTTCCGAGAACTTGACGCTCTTGAAGCGCGCGGCGCCTAAATCCTCCAGCACGAGTATCGATTCCGGTGGCACGGGACTGTCGTCGGTGCCGCTCGCCGGACTGTAGTGAGCGTGATAGCACATGGGAACCGGTAATACAATCCGTTCCTCCGGGCACGGTCCCAGCTGTCTTCGATTGAACTCCTTCAAATCCGGCATCACCTGGCGTACAAGCGCTCTATTAAGAATTCATCGAGCGGCGACACCTGAAATCCGATCACCCCGATCACGCTGTCACTTACCTGAGTGTAAAACTTAATCTCCCGGAGATCGAATTGGCCCTCCGTGACGAAGAAGCGGCTAAACGGATCCCTGGGAAGTTGCTTTATGATAACCGATAGATTGCACTTTTCCGACGGCTTATCCGTCGTCAGTGCTACCAGATAATTCCCCGTCACGCTGGTGATAGCGCTCAGCACGCTCTCACTGGTCGTACATCCGGGACTTACGTTAAACTTTAAGACGTCGACCTGGAAAAAATCATTGCAGCGATTAGTGTTGGCTGAAAGCGAACGTTAACGCGCCACTATCGGTATTATCTATCTGCTATCGCGTCGTAAGATATCTACATCGCTCGTCTACAGGACTAACCGCTCTCCCTTCGTGGTGCTTCGACAATATGCTCTCGAGCCACTCCTTCTGGACGTCCCAGTCCGCGACAATCTGTTCCTCCCCGCACGAAGTGTCGGTCTCGTCGTCCAAGTCGGACATGACTTCACCGTCCTCGTCTCTCAGCGCGGGCTGCCCTCTTTTCTTCTATCTCACACTTCTGGATTTCTCGCCGGCCGCGACGGTGCTCGGTGGTGCTCGCTGGTTCTCTCGCTCGGCCAACAAAAGTAGTCCGGCCTCGGCCAGCGCTAACGAGGCATGTGCGCCGCGGAAACGACGATGCCCCGGACGATGCGGACGGTGTTACACGGTCTGTACTCAATTACCGCACATGTACACACACGCACGCATATATATACGCGCGTCCGTGTGCCCGCCACCGTGAAATCACCGTCGCTGAATGAGTGCCCTCCTCGTTACGTGTCGCTGCCTCTTCCCGGTTACGTCCGTCGATTCTGCGCCGATTCGCGACAGACCATAGTTCGACGCCCCGGCATGAGAGAGGAGAGACGACTCTCTGCCTCAAATCGGCACGCCCTCGTCGGGGGGCTCAACGACCGGCGGCGGCTCGCTCCTTCCTCGATCTAGGCGCGCTGTACTCTTAATCGTTGCGGCGCGGCGTGGACCTCAAAGTACTGACCGACGTGATGCATGCTTCATTGTCGCCCACCTTGAGCTCTCGGTGCCTCGGTCGCCGCCGCCGCAGGGTGGGACGAAAACGATAGCGCATGCCTACTCCCGATCAATATTCTTCCTTCTGCCCCTCCCGGGTCTCCTCTCCACCCGCGTACACGCGTTCTCGCCATCTCTTGTTACGGCCACGCCGTATCAAGCTCCGTTCCGGAGCCTCTTTCTCTCTATCTCTCTCTCTCTCTCTTTCTCATTCAGGAAATCTGAAGATGGGAGTGCGCTAACGCGCCTCTGTACATTCGCTATGTCGATGATTGCTCGGAGCTGACACGTTGTTCTCTCCTTCAGGATTGCGGGGAAAGGGAGAGACGTGACAAGTACAATTGTTCCGCACGTGCGGAAACATGTATGCATTTCTCGCTAATAATTATTCAATAAAAATGTAGCGCGCAAATAGATGCTCATTTAAGAAATATCGAGGCCAATTTCGATATAGTTACCGGTAAATAAGATAAGATTACTTATCGTCACGTTGTAACTAATAACCAAAGATTACGTCAAAAATAATTGATCATTTTTTATCATCATCAAGGATAAAGTATTCGTAATTGAACCAATTAAACTTGAGCGCTGAACTGTTGTTATCGGATCTTCTTAAGAGAAACTTATTTCGCGGCCTTCGATATATCCGATCGCTCCTATTTATATTACTTAACAGGTGTCAGCCACATTATTAGAGCATAGAGAAGCCTTAAAGACGCTAATAACGTTGCCTCCACAGACACCGTACTTTGATCATAATTTTTTGTTGTTGTGACAAGCGACGCGTGACGAGGGATGAAAGTTTCCAACAAAGGGGACGGAAACTTGTAATGTATGTTTTCCCCACAGGTATTGGTATCACCCGTGCTAGCAGGAATAGCCGTGGGTGTCGGCGTGCCTATTTTACTATTTTACATCTACGGCGTGGTTCCGATATCGCTCTGCCGAAGCGGTGGCTGCGGGGTGACCACCAGCGGCACCGGAGTGCGATTCGAATTCGACGATGAAAACGAGCTGATGGGCGCTTTAGGCGTGCGCAACGGCGGAGGTAAATAACGCGATATTTCAATATATACGCACGTTACGCCTGATTAAATCGCTTTCACCCGCGTATGGTATCATATGCTATTCATATCGCGCTATCGCGATTCCATTGCACGTTCCATCATGTTGCAGATGCGGCATCAATAGACGTTGCGAGTCACCGCGGCGGCAATCCTTCGATAGGAGAGGCCTCGCTTTCATTGGGCAGCGGCAGTCAGCTGGAGAAATTGGGCCGAGAAAATGACCGTGAAAGCGCCAGCAATGTGGCCCTCGCTGGCACTAGTCTCGCAGGAAGTATCGCTTCCAGTGTACTTCCTGGAGGTCAAAGGTTATTATTCACTCATTCACAAGAGCGCGTTAATAGTCCTTTTTTTGGACATTATACACATGTCTGATTATGTACATACGCAGGCTGGAGGTCCAGGCTGACGTTACGTCCACGCAACGCTTCAGTTTATGTAGCGAGACTGCTTCCGCGGCTACTAGCTTGTCAGAAAAATCCGTAAACGCTTCCATCGCTTTAGATGACGGCGCGGCTTCCACAAGAGCCTTGGCTGGTTCTGTTCTTAATTTTAAGGTACCCACACCTCACCCTTATAAATATTTCAAAAAATTATTCCATTACTGAGTAAATAAAAAAGTTTATTTTAAAGAAGTTTTACTTATATACTTATTAAATAAAATACTAATTCCGTTACTTTTGTCACGGTCTCTTATATATAGATGGATGGCAGTTCAATCAGTGGTGGTAGAAGTACGGAGGGAGAGCAGGCGGCTAGCTCTGTCAACGGTGGTCACATGGATTCTGCCGGGCAAGCTACTTCCTTAAGCTCCCTGGAAGAGGTAGCACCTGGCTTAGCGAAACGCACCCGTCGCAAGCTTACATTTGATCGTCAATGCAGTGATTCAAGTACTTGGACTATGTGCGGAGAGGACGGTGGTTCTGAACGTGTGCGATTCGATGATCACGTCAGTGTGATCGAAGCGGATCAAGAGAGAGTGGTGGGCGGCAAGTTGGAAGGCTGCGCGATGAATAATCGCTCGGCGGGTGGGCGTAAGAGAAACAAAGATTCGGAGCCAGAAACGGATGCTCAAAAAATATCCAAGTACGAATCGCGGAATTGAATCTTGTTATAAATGAAATTTCCCAAACTGATCGCAATAATGTGTTTTTTTTTTTCTTTCTCAGAAGTCCAAATGGCGAATTAAACGCCGAGAGCCCTGTGGACGATACTCCACGCGAGCGCGTCAACGTCGCCAATTTAAGAAATGTATTTTTTCACGCTTCAACTGTGTCCACGGATCGCGAGAAACGATTGTCGGTGATAGAGGAGCCGATGTCGACCGTCTCTCAGACTTCCAGCAATCGGATCTTGTCGTCTCGCGACGAGACCCAGAGTCCTACTAGTACGGACGAAAGCTTGCACTGCTAAGAAAATTAAGACTGAGCCTGTGGATGTCATAATATACACGTGTCTCTCAGAATGTTACGATGTATGTATAGATGCGTATATACATATTATGAAGTGTGTATATATGTATTAAATCACATAATTGTAACGCTCGAATAACTATAAAGATTGTATATATATCCACATATATGCAACATTATAGTACGGAAAACGAAAGAGGTAAAGTAATTGTAACAATTGTGTGCACTTGCGCTGTGATTATGCATAACCAGAAACTTCTAAGTGTAATATACCTACGTATATGCATATATATGTACTGGCCTCCAATTCGTTATAAACAATGAAAGAAAATAGTTGAGTATATACACACAAAATTTTCTCCTCGCAATCTCACCATCGATCTTGCGCGAATAAAAAAAAATCATTTATTGCAATAGATAAAATACAATTCCATTTATATCTACATTATTTCCTGACCCTCGGAATCTGGTTTGTAACGAACGGGCGGACAATACAAGCTAAGAAAATGAATTACAAAGATGAAAGTTAATGTTGCAGATTGTCGCTGCATTTTATAAGTCAAATACTGCTCATTGCGTCTTTAAATATTACGCATTCTTGTTTAATATCTATCGGCCAATATATATATAAGAATATTTGAATATGTTTCTCAAAAAACATGTCTGCCCTTGCTGTGTGTGAAAATACATGTAATATGACAAGTAGCCTTATTTTTCAAATAATACATTTTCCTTCGCGTTGTATTATATATGAGAATGTTTCAGGTGTGGAAGAAGTTGTAGTGTTTTGTGCGTATGAAAGATATATGCAATTATACGTATAATATATACCTACATATGCGTATATAACATGCATACATACGTATATGTACGTGCGTACATATTATGTATGTATATATGTATATGTCTAAATTATTCAGCACATAACAATTTTTATTTGTTTTTAATATAAATGCAAAATAACGATTTTAGTTACCATATTATTTTCCATTTATATGAAACTATATAACTATGGATCATATATAAAAAAAAAGTGATTAAAGATTTCAAAAAGAGCTCTGTACTCACGGATATAGTTCTGTGTATTAATTAGCATTTTTTTGCCATTTTGTAATTCTTTTCTTGTGTTCCATATTTCGCCAAGTCCTGATGTGCATGCATATAATTGTTTTATGCTTTTATGGTTATAATAATGTGTGCAATATATGATTGATTCTATGAAATACGATTTTTTACATTTAAAAGTATTAGATATTTTAATTCTAAGCACTTTAATATGTTTTACCCTTGTAAATTGTATTTTGTATATTTTTACCCTTATAAATTTCATATATTTTACTCTTATGAAATCGAAAATGTGGTACAATAATTTTACAAACAAAGAGAACAAAATTATTTTATATACACAGACTTAGAAAATCCGAATTTTGAACTATAAAACTGCCGCATCTTCTATGATATATGTGCAAACAATGCTAGTTGTATTTAAACGAACTTTACACCAAAAGAATATATTGGAATTTATTAACATATTTAGTATGCAAAAAAAAATAACAAGATAAACATATTATCTTAAATATACAAAAAAATGGAAATATTAATTAAAATTATTAGTATGTTTAGAATACTGGGATCTATGAATAATGTGTAATGATATTTAGTTTTGCCTGTACTTGCCTGTCAGTAAAATATTGTACAGCACAGAAATATCTTTTGAATATGCACTATTATTATTATTTTACACATAATTGTAACAATTGTATATATTTCTCTGGAAAGCGAAATAAAAAAAGGATTAAAATACAACAAAACTGTTTTCAAAATTTTATATATATATATATATATATATATACACCATTCAGAAATATAAATATAAATTAACACCAAAATTCTTAACGTGTATTTCTGATTTTAACACTATAGTTTTAATCTTGTATTGTGTAGAAATAGTAATACAAAACTAAATCTTAAAAATATAAAACAATACATCATATAAAAATTTGTATTATAGAATTAATTATTAATTTAGTTTAACCTGTTTTTGTATACCTAAAGATTTTATACTTTTATAATCTATAATGATCGACTTAGAAATAGAGGTGATTTCTTAAATAGTTCATCTACTTTTATTTTGAATAATTCACTTTGTATTGGTTCATTTAATTGGCATAGTGGATTCTTTACTACATATTCCAGATACACCTAAAATAAAAAATATACACAATTATATAGATATACGTAAATCTATACTTTCATAAAACACAAATATATCAAATCTTACTTCTCTATACAATTGTTGTAATAATTCTCTGGCATTCTGACTCGCATTATCTGTGTTCAGTACAAACTTAAGACCCGATGGTGTTTCAAAATAATGAAGTGTATATTTGCTTGTCTTGTAATACAGAAATCCCTCCTTAGGATCCAATGGTGAGATTTTACTTACAAATGATTTTATGGAAAACAGCATTCCATACATCAACTTTGCTTCCTAAATTGTAAATATGCTATTAATAATTAAAAAATTTTCTCTTTATAGTTATTAACACCAAAATATATCATAAATATTAATATGTAGAATAAAAATGTAATGTTATCTTTTACATTTTTGATACAATTTTTTCATATTAGAATATAACATTGCACTACACACCTTAAAAATAAAGGCATAAAAATAAATAAAATAATATATATTAATGTTGAAATGTACATTTTATTCATTTTTATGCTCTAAAATCTTATATTATTTGGCAGGTTTAGAAGTTTACTACAATGCATTAAAATCTTATATTTTAAACAAAGAAATAATCTAGAATTCTAAAATATAAGACTTTAATGCATTGTAGTAAAGTTCTAGACCTACCAAATGGTATGATATAAGATTCTAAGATATAAAAATGAATAAAATGTACATAATGTTATATCATAAGATTTGTTAGGTTAATATTTTAGAATGTACATTTTTTATATGCGTTGCATTGAAATCTTATATTTTAAACAAAAAAAACTGTCTAGAATTCTAAAATACAAGATTTTAATACATAGTAAAGTTCTAGACCTATCAAATGATATGATATAAGATTCTAAGACATAAAAATGAATAAAATGTATATAATGTTATCATAACATTTGTTAGGTTAGAACTTGAGAATGTGCATTTTCTTCACAGGGATGAATTGAAATATTATATTTTAAACAAGAAAAACTGTCTAGAATTCTAAAATACAAAATTTTAATACATCGTAGTAAAGTTCTAGACTTATCAAGTGATATGATATAAGATTCTAAGGCATAAAAATGAATAAAATGTATATAAATGTTATCATAACATTTGTTAGGTTAGATTGAAACTTGAGAATGTACATTTTCTTTATTGCTATATATTGAAATATTATATTTTAAACAAAAAATGGTCTAAAATTTTAAAATATAAGATTTTAATACATCACAATGTATAATACATCGTAATGTTCTAGGCCTATCAAATGATATAATATTCTAAGACATTCTAATGCATAAACATAAATAAGATGTATATTTTAACATTCAGAATGTTCAACAGATCATTGTAAAAGTCTTGATTATTAATATACAATAATCAGATTGATATTACCTCTTCTTTTGTTATCCCCGATTTATTCAATCTGTTCCACTCAGCATAATATAATAATGTGCCAGTTTTCGAAAAAATATACAAGTTATGAATCGTCATGACTGTTTTTCTTCCGTTTTAAATCAGAATCTATCAATGCTCGCTTTAATTCAATCGTTTTGACGTCTCGACAACAAAAATGTTTGATACAGCTGTGAGTGGTACACTTTCGCAATCTGGTATCAAAGTAACTAAACACTGTATACTTTTTAATCGTTGGTAATATTACCAACAGCTGTGAATAAATTTTCGTGACTATAGATCTCGTCGGTGCTACAGAGAAGCCTCTAGATTATCCGATTATCCGGAGATTACTAAAAAATAATAACATTATTAATTTAGATAATTGTTTTATAATTATTTTATAATATTTATTTTATATTATAATATTATAATATTTATTTTTGTATAATTTTATATAAAAACATATATTTTATATTGCTTGGATTTTTTGAGTCTCAAAAAAATAAATTTAATCTGCCATACACAAAGCAATTCAATTTATAAATTACTTTTAATATTATAAAGTGTTATATTTTGCTTCTCTCTATGGCAACTAAAGTATCATAATAGAAATGACAAGCAGATATCTTCGTATCTTTTATTGTCAATCTTCGCTAATCTTCACGTCTTTAATCACGCCTTCTCATCAACCTGTCAACAAACCAAAACGGCGAAGCAGATTATTTAAAAATGTAAGCTAAAATCGCGCAAATGCTTCTGCCAATTTTATTATTTATCATAGGCCGTAAATGGCACGCTTACATGAAGTTCTTATTTGCTCAAAATTAAATCTCACTTTGAAAAAAAATGATTATGTCTTTTTGCGATAAAATTAATGGCAAGAAACATTGTTCTAACACTAATTGCTGCGGTTAGTATGTAAATTAAATAGCTAAAATAAGGAATAAAAAAATTAAAGCGTGTTCATGACTATGTAAAAGATTAAATTAACATAAAACAATATTTTATACACATAATCATATATGTTACAGTTTTTTATTATTCTCATCAAGTTTCGTGAAATTTATTCATTTTATGTTAATAAATGTATGCATTTTCATTTGCCAGAAAAGAAGAGAAAATTATTGAGATATTCATATATGATTTAGCATTGTTTCATTCCGCGATGGATTTACAAGGATTACGATTTCAAACAGATACTTTTTAAACAGATTTAATTTATTTTTGAAAGATAATCATAACAAATAAATTTATTATAAATAAACATATTGTATATAATTCTGAATCATCTATCTTATTAAAAGAAATAAGAAATATGAAAATTTATTTCTATTTGTCACATCTGAATAAATATATTATCTTTTGTAACAGTGAAGTATACTTTAAGTACTTACAAAATCATTAAAAAAATTCAATCCCAAATTTGTTTCCAACAACTTTTTAATTTGCAATCCGTATCTCAAAAATGTTATTACTTTGCGATATTATCGTGCAGGAAACAGTCGTGCACCAGGCGGTTGTTCCGAGACGCGCATACCGTCGTGTAATTGTCAAAGTAACGTAGGATGTCTGGATCGCAGTGATTGCGGTGGCTTGCGGCCCGCTGGGACGGCCGCGACGGGCGCGTGTCCTGGAGCATGTCAGTGCGTTGAAGAGGAAATCTGGAACAGCAACGCACCACCTAAACCGAATTGTCGATGGTTGAGCAACTTTGCCGAGTTGCGCCGTCAATGGAGCGATCACGGCCGCCAGCGGACGTGCAAGTGTTGCGGCCGCAGCCGACCGTGGTAGGGAAATTACGATAGCTAAGCTAATATCGCGGTGCCGAGAGAAAAACCAATGTTGTTCTGCATGCGACAAGGGTTTATGAAAAAGATGAAAGTTCCACATGAGCCTTCGTAATGCTCACTTTCCTTTGCTCTCAAGTCATAATATCAATCTCGGTCTTGAATATCGATATTCTGCTTGACAAATGTATTAGTCCTTGCTCTTGACCTTACATAAATATTCGTTTAGTGAGAAAAAAATGTTGTCCATGATAACCACAATGTTTTAGAGTGAATTTATTGATGGTTCGGAGAAAATTTTAAAGATAATACTTTTACTTACTTGATGGTTCTAGTTTTGTGAAAGTCGATCATTTTTAGCGTTGTCTTTTACAATGAAAAGAGCCATTGCGCTAAACGTTAAGCGAATATTTCTTTTTGAAATATCGAGAACATTATTGGACTTCCTTATTTTGCACCGCGTTGCATTTTATCCGCAGCAGAACTGTCGCTCCGTGTAGGCGGTGTCTTCCAGTGACGCTCCCGTGTTCCGGTACCATTTTAACTGCATCGGACTGTCAGGTACACTGGAATATGAAATTCTCGTCAAGAGTAGAGAACACTTGTGATTTTATATGTATTTATATTTCTTTTATTTTAAAAAGATATATAATGTAAATTTTAGTGCAAAGAAACTTGCTTGATCCTGTTGTTCGGTTCAAGATCCATTCTTCTTTTAATCCATTTCTGTTTTTAAAGCACGATAACTTTTTATCAATCTTTCACAATTTTATAATAACTTTCATTAAACACGTGTTTCTGTAATAAAGAAAAATAAATTTCAATAGAAATATTATATGTCAAAACATAAATAGTTGTTTTGAATGTACGAAATTTAAGTACAAAATATATATATATATATATAAATGTTGACGCAAAACAGCAGAATTAAGTAATGTAAAGCAAGCATAAACAATATAGAACATAGTTAATGTTTTTGACGTTCTCTGTATACGTTTTAATTAATGTTGATACGAAGACTGCGGGGATTTCATTCAGGTGCGGTTAGTTCGCGTTTACTCGATTTATGTAAATTAGCATAGCATAGAGAGCTAAAAGTAAAGCGAGCGTTCAAAGTTTCTTAATTATTCGGTAAAATTCGTAAAGTTGGCCAAACTAATTTGTATACAGACTTTAATGGCTTAGTAATTGGAACATTTATAACCTGAAATATTTAAAATACATCCTAACTACAGTACCATTCACGAATGGACAAAAAAAAGTTATTGCATTGTATTATAATTTTCATGAACGAACAATATTTTAAGCAATGATAATCCCGGTAATTGTAGATAAATCGAAGGCTAAATCGTATCTCGCTTTGTAACTGTCGTCAGATTTTTCTACCTTCGACAGAAATGCTGCGGGAGCCGTCGCTTAGCGGGTGGGGCAAGCAAATCGGAAATGGCATCGATAGATAAATCGTCGTCACCCGAGCGACCTTCGAGACGGGAAGCGGGCGGTGGTTGTCCACCGCTGAACTGCGTCTATCCGTCAACCAGCTGTAATTCCCCTAATGCGAATTGTTCATCGACCGCCTCGTCCTGCTGCCCCTCGCAGTGTCGTTACTCTCAAGCTTCGTCGCACCAAACATCGCCCACGAATTGCCGGTCCTGCTGCTCGTCCGCGTTCAAATCCATTTTAAAGAAGCGCAATTGCTGCCAGTGCGACTTGAGCTACTGCATGTGCCAGCCGATGCCGCGCGGCTGCAACTGCCCACCGCCGGTTCAAGTAGACGCGCGCGCTGCCCCCGGATGTTCCTGCGAGTGTCCATCCAGCCCGGAATGCGCGTGTCCACCCAGCGAACGGAGATTCCCGAAAACGACGGTCAAATGCCCTAACGCGCGTCTTTGTTGCCCATTTCCTCGACTACCAGCCGGCCCCAAATGTCATTGCGCGCGATGCCGATCGTGTCCACCGCCGTCCTGCGATCCGCGCGCGTCCACCAGATGCCGAAGACCCGTCCCGCCGAAGAATCCTTGCCGTTCGTGTCCCACATGCCCGCCTTGTCGGCCGGTTTCACCGACTTCGCGTTGCCGTCCTCCGACACCCTGCAAGAAACTGACCTTCTGCACCGAGCGAAGCGGTCGGCTCTCTTCGCCCTGCACAGGAACAGGTCAGTTTGAGATTGTTGACGATGAGAACTCGGAAAGTTATGTTTGTAGCGAGCGAAATGACGTTGAGGGACAAGAGAAGCGCAGTACGAAAGATAGTGATAATACGCGCGATTGTCGTTGCGCGGCAGGGCTCGAGAATAGAACCGAACGCTCGGATCAAAGTTGCGATCCGATTCTAGACGAGGAATATTTGGAAAAAAATTCAACGTCGCAGAGATTTATTAATTCATCGGAGACCGCAAACCCTTCGCAGTTTGTCGATCCGGATTCGCACGACGCGCCGGTAAAAGAAAACGAATCCGCTCCTGAAAATGCAGCGAAGACTCTCGAAGAATATATCGCCGAAAAATCCTCGAAGGATTCGCGGCGTACTCCGCCCGTTCTCGTTCCATCCGATAACCGTGCGAAATCCAATCGTTACACATTCGCGGAGAACATGCACCCGTCGACAAAAACATCTCCGGGAATTCCGTACTCGCGAGATTATCGAGTCGCGCGAAATCACCTGCTCGGATAAGACGGCAAGATTTATCGGCGTCCAATAAATTATTGCCTCGGCAAGTCGTTACTTTTCACGACACCCCACGGACACGTGTCGGCCCGTTGGCGGATATTTCAATGAATAACCAGACACCGGTCAGGATCGACAAACGACGCAGGGGTGGTGGATCCTCGGGAGAAGACGCGATAAATTTTAATCCCCTTCGGGAAAATCGCGCGATGAAACGTTTCAAAATTATCATCTTTCGTGATAAACAACCGTTTAACATCCGCTTTACTTAAACCGAATAAGGATTATCGCTAGTTCGTTACTCCATAAAAAACTGAGACCTCTCACTTCTACAATTTATCAAAATAATCAGAAATGATAGAAGCAAATAAATTATAAATAAAATATCAAGTACTTATCTATAAAATTTTTACGATTAAACTATTTTTAACATTTTTTGACATACCAGTTTATTTATGTGACTTGTTATATTAGAAAAAAAGAGTATTTGAGATATTATTAATTCTATAAACTTTTTTTTAGTAAAACTTTGTAATTTTATAGACCATTTTAAAAGTTTGCACATAATTCTTATATATATAAATAAATATCTGTATATAAGTTTGAAAATTTTTTTGAGGCAAATACCTTGTTTTATTAATTTCCTTATTCGATGCGCTAGAAATTGATGTTTATTTGCATCCTTGTGTTGTGACCAAAGGACCAATGTGACACGTGGTGCATCCAGTAGGTATCAGCTGTACTTCAGAAGGAATATTCACAACAAGGTCGAGTTCACAAACACACGAAGAGAAGAATGGAAGTGCATGCTGGGACGTGTTTTCTAATCTCGGTGGCATCGGTTACTCGATCCTCGTGCCGAGTCCATTGGCATTAATATCCTTCGCGCTACTGATCCTTGTTGCCGTTACCTGGTCCTCCGGTCTAGCCTTTTACCGTCATTACTTAGTACACAAGAAAATCTGTTGGAGATATTTAGGCTTATAATTACAAATGTGAATTAAAAAACAATCTTCTATTGAATGTGGCTTTTGATAAAAATATACAAACTTGTCGATAAGCAAAAGATGGCACAGAACTTTGAAAATCTGAAAACAGACATCTATTAGTGCAGAACGTAAAATATAAAATCTGTAAAAAAATGTATTACAAGAAATAAATAGCAACAAATATGCTAAACTGTGTAGAAATGTTAATCTTATATAATAAACATATTATTTTATCATCATGTAATATTTATAATCAGCGAAATGCGAACGACGCTAAGTATTGCAAGACTGTATGAGACGGTTATCTTGCAGAATTTTTTTTTAATATACACGATGCATTTAATCTCCCTCTTTGCATCGGCAGTGACACGACGAATGACGCTCGCTCTTTCTGTCAGTCGGCGAAATGACGCGCCGGAGAGCGTTCGCGTTTTTGTCGGCGTTGCTGTTCTGCGCGATACTCCAACAAGGTGCATCCGCTGTCGCTGAAACTATCGAAAATAAGAGTGTCACCGAGAAAGCGCAGGCGGAGGGTTGCATCGAGTGCGGATATTATAGGTATATACGCGACGCTCAGAGATAAAATTGTATTTTTTTTTTCTGTACAAATAGAATTTCAATATTAGAAATATTCCACAGACTCGATATTTTAATTTTTCAATGCATATTTTTATTTATATTATACGCAGAATTATAATTTGAGAAAGGATTGATGACTTTTTAAAATTAGTTAATTGCCGCCACAAATTAGTTGTGAAATATTTTGCTGTCGCTCATTGTCGCGCAAATAGATGTCCAGAGGACCCTGGAAAATGTTTGTTGGGTTCAGTACCCGACCCGTGCGGATGCTGCCCGGGTGGTTTGTGCGCTCGTCTCCTTGGCGAACCATGTTGGAATGCGAGCATTCCTCTTCTCTCTCCAAACAGCCGCAACGATGGATATTGCGCGAGAAATTATCTCTGCGAACTGCGGTCCGATTTACAAGAAGAGGTATAATCACGTTATTTGCCCGTTTTTACGAAAACTAAATGAGACGTTCAACTATACGATTAATTTAATTTTAATATTTAACGTTCGAGAGCAGTAAAATCTAACATCTTAAAAAAAATCTTCCTTACATATTATTGTGATGAGTAAATATTATTTTTAAAATTGTCCTTGTTTCATCAAAATTATAATGGATTATTTATTTTCGCGTATGTATAAGTCACACGCTGAATTGCATTACATAACGTAATCTAGGAGGATGTAACGACCGATTCCTTTAAAGGCTGAATCTGCAAAGCTGAGAACTCGCGTCATTATGTGCGACATTTATCACCTCCGTAAGTGATAAATTCACTTCCCCAAAGAGATCACGTTCCAGATCACTCGGCCTCAACGAGCTCCGTAATGAGGCTCCCCGTTTTCTGAGTTAGTTAACACAAAAATAGGAATCGCGCGTCGTTGCGCAAATGATATCTAACACAGACCCGTGCATCATCCACCCACTGAGCTATGCCGTCATTCGGATCTATCGCGGTTCTAAGATCGCAGCCACCGGTGACTTACGGTCGCTGACCCGCTGGCCTTTTCGCATCTAATTTCGTCTTGTCGCGCATCGTGGGCCGTGATGGCATTGTGAGAATTATATGCGCACACACGTCATTCATGCAATCAAACAATCAGGCAGACCGTTTATGATAAATGCAGGTTGAAAGAATAATCTTTGCTATATGATCTTAAGATAAAACCGTGTTTAAATAGCCGGAAGATTTCTTGTAAAAAAAAAAAGAAAAAAAAAAACGCATCGCGTAACTGCACGCGTACTAATTATTTAGTTACATCAACTTGTTATACTTGCATAAAATGGTAGATTATTGAAATGACTATTAATTATTCCGAATTAAGCGAAACTAACAGCAACTATCCGGGATGGCGTATGAAACATTATGTTTGTGCCAGTTCAGTAGAAATGCTCGGGATTTTGTCATGCGTGTGTAAATAGCAAGGATGTGCTGGCGCAAGAAGCATCGCGTTATTAATTTCAAACAAGTTAAGTTCTCCAAAGCGTGGAATTTATCTCCAAATTAGTTAATAGTGCGTTTCAAAAATCCAGGAAAATTGTAGCGTTACTAATAATCAAAATAATAATAAAAAAAAATATAACAACAGTGTCTCAAGAGACGAAGCTGCGAAATTAATAAAAGGGATCAAACTGCAGGATGCTCCGGAGGCAATTTGCGTGTGCATGGAACAAAGCCCTGCGTGCGGCAGTAATAATGAAACTTACTCGACGCCATGCGCGTTGCACGAGGAGGCGATGAAACTCAGGAACTCATCTTCCTTAAGATTGCAACACCTCGGTCCTTGTGAGAGCAGACCTTGGATCCTGTCAACTCTGGAAGACATTGCCTCATCCTTCGGTCAACGAGTCGCGCTCAATTGTGAGGCAAAGGGGTTTCCCGTGCCGGATATCTTTTGGGAATTTCACTCTGCTGATGGAAGAAGAGTGCTGAAATTGCCAGGTAAAAGCATTATATGAAAAGAAAATATTTTACGACACTTTTACACACCAATTAATCATTACGATTAAATAAGATTGTCTTAAATGTGGAAAAAATTTCTGGAAAAAATTATAAACATTTAATTGACAAATTTTAGCATTCGATATTTCCTATTCCGTACGAATATGATACACTATAGAATTCGGTAAATAAATTTAACATTTTATTTACAGAAGAGAAGCACGAAGCGACGGTACATACGAGCGACGGTCCAGAGCCCCTTATGCGAACATCCTGGATGCAATTGGCTCGACTGAACAAAGAACACATTGGAATATATTATTGCATTGCTAACAATTCCATAGGTGAAGCGAGCGCAGCTTCATTCGTGTCCATGTCGTGAGATCGCGCTTGTCTCTTGCGAGACGATTCCTCGTGTAATCGCTGTAATAAATATAATATGGAAAGAAAAATACGCTGGCCACATGTTCGGAAAGTTTATTCTTTAACAAACAGATGTATAATGAAGAATCTCTCGCATAGATAAATTTGAGGCTGAGTGGATTTCGTTCAAGTGTATGAATGGCAGTTGGTTTTTTTTTAACTTAGAAATCTGCTTACGATAAATTCGATACAAGTAAGACTTATTTTGTACGACTTATACTTCAAGCTTGTTCAATACTTCTGACTATAAATTCTCATGCCATATTTATATCTTTCTAAGCCTGTCTGCGAGTCCTCCGTCTTTGCTTGTTACCAATCGCTTTGCGGCGGCGGCGGTGGACTGTAAAGTATAATTGCCGTAATATAAAATACAATTTTATTGTATAAAGCATTATTTATACGCTTTCGATGCCATATCATAATAATCTAAATATAACATTATAGAAAAAAAATATTATACTCATACTTACTCTGGCGTTTGCCATGTTCTGTCGTCGTCCGTGTTAAGACTATCCCTAATAAAAATGTTTTCATATTTTAAATCCGTCTCATTAAACAATTGAGCTTATTAAATTGTTTATTAAACGAAAATAAAATTGAAGTACTAACGTTCTTGTCGGCAGTAAAATAGCGTCTCTTGCGAAGTGAGATGGTTTCTTGTATACCAATGATAAAATATGAGCCGTTGGTGTGCTGGCAATCATGACGACTGCACATACAAATGTAGCGAACCAGAAACCGTTCTAAATATTCATCACATAAGACACTTTGTTGAAAATGCGAGATTAATGTTTTATCAGTTGTTCTGTATGACGTCAAATATTAAATATGTATTTTTTTTTTCAATTATACGTACGAAAGGGCTCAGAATGTGAGCGCATAGTAAATGCCTGAATCCTTCTAGAATATCCCACAAAGGTCGACACTTGGACACTCCCGTACCTATTTCAGAGAGTACGTGAGTCCGCCATTGATCTAGATAATTCGCCAGTCGGTCCACGTACAATTTTGTTTTCTGCAAACGATGAATTTCAGTGATTTACCACTTCTTATCAGATGAACATCTATAACGACGGTTTTGCGTGTTTTATAATTCACGAGAATTTCTCGTTTGCTCTCACCAACTGAGCAATCTTCTCCCCCTGATGATCTATGTAATATTGTATAGTTCTTAGATGAGAGATCGATTGGTTGACTTGGCGCCGAAGAGGTTGCACTTGCAATTCCAAAATTGCGAGGCGATACACCAAATCGTCCTGTAGTCGCATCAGCGGCTTCACCCGCCGCGACATTAGATCCCGCATTGTTATTCCAATGCTTTGCAATTCCCTGCCAATACTTCGATCTTGCAGCTGACGCGATATATTGTCCAGTTGATCGGACATTGTATTCAGATCTTTACTCAGAATCGGTCCTTGGATCTGCGAAAAAATAGCGAGAATCTCGAACAATAGACATTAATGCCGAGAAATATATTTTTCCACAAATAAATACAAATATTCTTTTATCATATTTAATTAACGTGTCACCACAAAAAAAATGAGAAAGCCCATTTGTTAATTATTTAAATGACGCTTGTATATGAATTATTACAAAGTGAAGATATTAAAATAGATATGCGTTATATGTTAAGTTGATAAATTGAGCGGATATGCACAACTAAATAGACTTTAATTAGTGGCGGCATAACCATAATCGCGGAAACAACTCGCTGTGAAATCCACGCTGTTTATCATACTAGCCGTCTAGCATTACGGAGCGATGTAGCTGCGTAATTTGTTACTTTCCTTTACTGATAGTGGGTTTTTCCTTGAAAAGGATTTTTCAAAGAGCCATGTTGAGTTTAATCTCGAACTTTAATCAAGTTGTTAAAGTCTAGTAAAATCTCCGCTTTTATTTTTTGCAGCTTTTATTTGAAGGGATATGAGAATGAAAAGATGGAATATAATGTGAGTAGCGTACAAATAAACGTAGTGAATACCGTAATTCTATGCGCCGTGAGATTCAAGCCGCAAGCGTACAGGAGATCCTGAAGACGTGCCCGCAGATTCGGCGTTAATATTTGAAGGCCTTTCAAGTCAACCTTGATATTCGAGATTGCTTTCGATAAGCCTAACCACGTCCAATGCGCAGTCAAATGTTCGAGTTTCATCGTGCTTTCGAGCCCGAAGGCGGGATAAGCTGCCTCATTGTTTTGGCATTTTCTGCAAATAAATATTGCCGCTGAAAGCCATAAAATACATTGTACAAAGCCGGTCGCTGTGTTTGACTGCATTGCAGTCTGAGAGACGTCTAATAAAGAAATATAAATAAAAAATTTAATTTACGCTCAGACTGTAGTAGCTGCATACATATTAAACGCAATAGTATTTTCGTCGAAATACGGGGAAAATATTTCATTTTCTAATAATACACGACATAAAATTTATTTTAATTTTTCGTACTTATAAATGGAGCTACGTTAAATCTTTTTTTTTTCCTTTAATACACGGCTAGCTTAATAGCCGTGCAATATCAGTCTGCAATTCTCAATTTAATATAAAGCTTTTAAAGTGGAGTATTAATATCCGCGTAAAGCTTGATTAGCTTGATTAGAGCAACGTGGCTCTTATAAGCTTACTCAAAGAGCTCTTTGAGAGGAACAGTGAGCCTTCTTCCTAAGAACACTCGGGTTTCCAGCACGGCTTCCATGGTACGATAATCGGGATCGTAGAGCGTTCGGCATATCAGCATCTCTGTATGGCTCGAAATGCCTAGAGAAACGATGAGCACTGTCCATAGTGCAATCGAGACAAAACAGCTCGTGACCGCACCACTGAAATCCGATCGACACACTCAGACCGGCGATCTGTCTTATTATAGACATACGGGGGGTTACTTTCTATTTATTCACTATTTAGCTCCATGTTTACTAAATAATAATTTACTATAATATAAATTACCGTTAATATAAATATTTATTTATGTTCTGCAATACTGGTAAATAATCTATTGTGTATAGAATGTTAGACAATAAATTCTATTGTACGACATTTGTAGTATTATTTTCTCTCTCTCTCTCTCTCTCTCTCTCTCTCTCTCTCTCTCTCTCTATCTCTGTCTGCTATTATTTATGTAAATTACATAACGCTTACCACAAAAGGGTTGGACGCACTTTATTTTCGGATGTTCCACAGCGACAACACAAAGCCCCAATTAATAGCGAAAAGACTGGTAAAATGCATAGAACAGTAGCTGCATGTGTCACAAGTAAATAGAATGTACATTATTTTTCGTTAGTCACTTACTAAATTAGAAAAAATAAGCGGCCAGTGTATATTATGCGTACTAATTAAATATATATTAACATTTCTGCGTTGCTCTGCAATAATTAGTTAAATATTTATGGAAACAAATTCTTTTCCATTGTTAGAAATATTATTATTATTATATTATTTCAATCTATATATAAAAATGTGTCTAATCTAATAATTATGTTATCGACTTATCTTCTTAAAATCCGCACTTACTTAAAAATGCTTGGCACGATTGTTTTCCAAATACCAACGCGAACGCGACGAATAACGGAAAAATATTCAATGTAATCTTGAAAAATTCTACATACTCAGACCGACGATCCACCTGATATGTTCGAAAGCGATGACATGAGGTACAGCATAATCCGCGACGCTTCTCGCAGAATCCAGCTGCTTTGAGAGTTCGAAACTGTTCATCTCTACGCTGCGCGTTTGATCGACAATCCTGGCACGTGCTGCATTGATCTCACGTCGAATCTCTATGGAAATATAAAACTTTCTCACTTTCTTGTAATTTCGCAATTTATTGCTATGTGACAGCCACGAACATTTTTGTAGAGAAAAGATATTTATAAAAAGATATACATTTTAATGCATCGTACTTTTCACAATTTTTAACGTAAGAAAAAACATGCAAGTCTAATTCGATAAGTTTATTTCTGACAAAAAACTCGTCATATTTGCGAAAGTTATAATTCATATTATTACTACGTCAAATGTCTAAGTTCTCAAAATGACTGGATGATATTTTTCTCATAAAATTATATTTCATTGTTCCGACGAGTCGGAGTTTCTCACGTAGTAATTTTCACGCTCGCTGTGAAAATTATTAAGACATCAAACACAAAAGGTAAATAGAAAAGTGTAATTACGTTGTTGTACTCATTTCGAACAGAAGTGCGAACGGATGTTTGTTAATTTTGCATGGAAGTCGTTTATCACGTGCTAACAAGCAGAATATTTTGTAGCAACCAACTTTTCAAACCGACATTTATTGCAGAAACGTTAAAATTGCTCGACAACAATTATAGATATTAAGCTAGTTCGATTTTATCGTTTTTACCAATGGGATGAATTTTTACGAATTTTTTCCAACTTTTTTTCACAGAGTAATATTAACGTGATATGGATTTCGCATTAGACGCCGACCGTCACGTCTTTATCGGATCTGTCTGCCGATGGATAGCGGCGGGCGACAAGCATTATTGGTCGATGGCGAATTAAGAGAAATCGACAGGAGTACAAGTTCGCATCGCTTCGGTTCATCGACATTACTGCGCTGTAGCATCCATCATTTCTATTTCCTTTATGAATATCTTCAATTGCTTTATTAATAACTTTCTTCTCTTTTACGTTTCATTAATTAGAATTTAATTTCGATTTTAAACTGTAGTCACAAATATCACGTACATGCTCACTTTTTTAATTAAAAAAAGTTAATGCTTTGGAAAAAAGGGTAAGTTATGGATTAAAAGCTAGCTATGTATTATTAGTAAAAAATATAACTTGAAAATTTAATATTTTGATAATTTTTGCATTTTTAGAATTTCGTCTCATTTTAAGAAAAACTTATAATATTTCAATTTTTAATTATTTATACAAAAAATATTGAAACTAATGTTAGCAGTAAATACACTGCATATTAGTAATAAATATACAATTTATATTTGTAAAATCTTCTTCAAATTTATCTCGCTAACGTTACAGAGTACATATATCGGAATCCAGAGAAACAACAAGTAGAACAAGTCTGTAATATTGCCCGACACGACGGGCCGTCAACGCGCGACATTCTCGGCATCAATCACGATCCCTTCGCGAAAGTTTATACGAGAGAAGATATATAACACGATCGCTGGATCCACGAAGATGTTTGCTCGAAGCATTTACCGCATTTCGTTTGTCTATTAAGGATAAAGTCTCTCGAGTCTCCCTTTTTCATCATTGATCTCATCGCACCCCGTAGTAGAAACGCTGACGCGTATTCCCTCGGCTCGTGACGAAATATCGTTTATACAGTACGATGTAGAAAGAGAGGTAAAAAGGGCGTGCAAAAACGTTATTGAGTAACGCGACGTCCCGCATTAAACGTCTAAAGGGTGGAAAAGAATGTGTAGCGAAATCTTCTGAATAAACTGTTGATTTTATCCGTAAATAAATTAAATTAATGTTAAATAAATTCTGTAAGCAGTTTTTTATCAAATACAAAACTTTCGTGCATTTGCATAATTACAAATTCACATCACATGTTTACAATATGGATATATTGCGTTCATGTGAACTAATACACGCATAGAATTAAATATATTTGTTTAATTTTTAAATATTAATCTCTCTCATATGGTACGCATTTCATGTAAAATTTAAAATATTTTTTTGAAAACAAAATACCTCAGCGATTTGGTTTCGATTTTTACAGCTATTTTGATTAAAAAGTGTTCTTTCTCTTGCAGTTGGAAATAATCCATTGTGCGAATATATATATCTAAAATATTCCACGCTGAAAATTCGCGCGTTATGTGCGGCAAAGTCCGGGATTAATATATGCATCACATATTTCTTGGAAGCTGTCAACGTTTTGGGAAACTTTACGCTTTGAATCTGAAATAAAATATTCTTTATAAATTCTTGCGAAAGAGCAGAAATATAATCTTGCATAACTTGAAAATGATTAAGAGATGACGATAAATACTTGAAATAGTTCATTCTTATGGCGTAAGCAAAATTATATGCGGATATTAATCGTATTAATAAAAAGTAAATAAAAAAATATTATTGTTATATTTATATGAACTTTCTTTCCATTGGTCTGCAAAATCTTAATTATCGGAACATCAAAACGCACTTTCATAAAACTAGCAAGTTTGTGTTTTCCCAGCTTCGTTCGCTTCGAAAATGCGATCTAGTTTAGCCTGTTTTGTTTACCTATCCTCAAAGTTATAATATGCCTTAAACACATCACTGTCACTGCAGGATCTATAAGCAAGGATATATAGACAAGGTATAGACGAGAAAAAGTATCGAAGAAGTTGAGATAACGCGCGCGTTATATAATCTGCAAAAAAGATTATTTTTCTCGGAACTTTACTTTCTCATCATATCTCTACTTTTTCGATAGTGGTTTTATGTGAAAACATTGTCTATAAAATATTACAAAGAGCATCCGAAAAATTTTAGAAGTTTGATATTGTTTGCTTCGAAGTATGCAGCATTCTAAATGCTTATAATCGCGCGGTTCTACTTCTGTGTGAGAGAAATCTATTTTTGGCTACCTTCATTTTATCTACACTCTCAGTCGGCTTTATTCAGCTTTATGTCCTCCTTGAAAGTTTTTCAAGTTATACGAAGTGCTGATATTAGAGTGTTTGGAGCACCGAAAGTCCGCTGCGTAATGTTGAAACGAGTATATATATTTGTATACATGAGCGGCTGCGGTTGAAATAATTTTCTCGCCACAAAATCCATCAGATTTATTTCTTCGAAACTACGTAAAACTTCGCTTCCCTTGTTTCCTTCAAGGCAGTCGAAATACGCGAGACGCAGCGTTGCGCAGCGTTGACTTAGAGCGAAATTTATCGGCATTTGCTGTACGGTTTAATCGCGGCTCGTTCACGTCTTTTTTCAACTTTCCCATTGTTTGCGGCTGTCGATTGCGTTCTTCCCGATTGCCGCCAGAATTTGCATTGCGATAGAAATTATTCCGCCAAAGAGGTGACGCGCATCTGTTCATACAAAACCCTGAGATTAATCGGAAGCTGGCGGATATTTTAGTGCGATTATTATTATTATTATTATAAACCCAAATTAATTTCTTTTTATTACACATTAAAATTTTTATCATGCAAAAATTCTCTTCAATTTAATTAAAAACAAAGTGCAAAGAAAGAAAGAGACTATAAGAAACACACAATGTGTATACATCTTCGTGTTCCGTGAATTAGCGAGTTACGCTGTGAAATAGCAATTATTCGTGTCATTTATTACCGTCTTTAGCGGAGCGCCATGAGCCATTTATTAAGCTTAACTCGCGTCATCTCGCATAACATCTGGAGAAACCTGGCGGTGAAGGGACTAATTTAGTTTTCTTCAGGGACGCGAGCTCTCTTTGGAGCTCTCGCGGAGTTTCCGCGCTGAAGTGTCGTCGCGATTTCAACGCGTCGCTGCGCGTGCCATAACGTATTGTAATACGTGGCATCAATGTCGAAAAGTTTTCTGACGCTATAGTGCATCGTTCTCCCTCTCCTCCACTTCTTACCCCCTCATTTCGGTCCTCCTCAGCCATAGTTACACGCTCAACTAAATTCTACAAGAGTCTACGTTTGCAACTCTCCCGAGACACGCTCGATTGCAACCGGTTTGTATCGAAAAAAGCTCACTATTGAGAATGCCAGTCTCACGACTCTTTTTCCGATATAATATCAATTCGGAGAATGGAACCGTGAATATTCTACCTACGGTTACGAGTATCCAGCGTAGTCCGGGCGATGTGATGTGGTACGTGGAGGTACTCTCCGCGAGTCTGGCGTCCTGCCTCAGTCAAATTTTCCCGACTACTGCTCCGTAGACGCAGCAAACGATCGTCTCTCAGTAGCTGCAAAAGACAGTATACAGGATTCCTCAGAAAAAACAGATCGGATTTTAGTGATCTTTTGGTTATTTTGGAGTTAATTTTTTTGCAACCATGGTGTTGTTAAGCATTAATTTGTTTTGAAGCGAAAAACTTTAAACAAGCGAGTAGATTACAAAAGTTCTTCAGTTAATTTAAAATAAACTAGGTTTTACTTTATCAGAGTTTGTTAGTTGAGGCTTAGTTACAAGCATGTGCAGTAATAAAAATCTGAAAATTGAAACAAATGATCTCTCTTGATAATTTCCGTTGTAAAAAAAATCCACTGCAAGTATCGTCATACAAATTTTATTGGTCTATTCTGAAACAACCTGTACGGAAAATATAAGAATAAAGTTGCTCATACGAAGATTGAAAAGTGCATCGCGATATCATATTGATGATTAAAAAATTGCCTAAAATGGTAAGTCTAATAATTGTTAGGAAATTATTTTTTATTCAATACAAAAATAGCATAATTATAAATTTAAAAAAATATATATAAATTTATATATTTCTTCAAAGCATCGATATTAAGAAGTTCTTTAAAAAAACTTATATCTAAAAAAATTTCGAGAATGGATAATGGATTGAAATGGAAATTGCACGAGAAAAACATTACGCGTAAAGTGATTGCGTTCATTCAATAGCAATAAGAAGACGTACTTGAAAGTGTTTACGTGTATGCGTGAAGGGGCGTTTCATGAACAACAAAAGATGGAAATCCTCGAAAAGTTTCTGCCGCAGCACAAGCTTTAAGTTGCCGATCTAAATTATTACTATTTTTAACTTGAAGTTGATAGACTTTTTAAGTACAGTAAAGTATAAAACTTCACTAAACAAGATGGAAGAATAAAAATTATACGAAATGCTACGAAAACCCGTGGTTGTGCAGCTTACCATTGAATATAACATTTTGCGTAATTAATTAACATAGCAATAAAAGTGTAAAAATAAACACGGAACAAGTAAAACATGTTAAAAGCAGAATCGGAAAAATAGTAAATACTGATATAATTGTTGAGTGCAATTTTAACTTAAATTTCGAGAAATAATAAAAGTTAAACATTGTCATAATCATTGAGTAAACAAATGCTAGCCGCAACTGTTGTTAAACTTGTCGATTGCATTTTACTCATCCGCCCGTATTTATTCAGATATATTTTGCAGCATCCCACGCATGAAATATTCACACGCAAGCGAAACAAAAATGCCGCTGCGAGTCGAAACGCTCGCACCGCCGAACGGATCCCAGAATCCGTTAGAATGGACGTCGATCGTAAAGTTTATTCACCCGCTCTATCCGTAGATCCAGACGAATCCCCGAAGAGTCAATGACAGCACAAAGAGAACGATCTGGACCCGAGCATGCTCTCACCGTACCTTCCAAGTCCCGCCGTATCTCGTCCGTTTCCCTACTCAATTCCAATCCGAGTTCGTGAGCTCTCTCACCCTCCCTGAGTAAAGATTCGGTCCTGGCAGATAACTCTTGTGTGGCTGAAACGCGCGATACGGCACCATTAACGACGTGTATATCCTGTATATTCACTGTTCTTACCATCGCTAACACCTTCAGAAACCCGGCATGGAAGTTGCCTAAGTGTGTAGCGCGAAAGTCGAACCTACTAAAATTATATCTGTTCCACAACTTCTGTTTCAAATTCCGAGGAAGATTATCGTTAACACTTGTTGAATACAGTGCTCATTTATTAATGAGGAGTAAATTTGAATTATAATTACAATAAACACGAATTAACAATATTACGCGCCTGATATGAGACATCTCCGCAATTTAAGAACCACGTGTATTTATTGTATTTTTGTCGTCTGATAATCCAGATTAATAGCGTTAATAATCTCGAAACAAACTTTCGACATACTGGGTGCTCAAATAGGCTATCAAACTATTAGCCAGCAACTAAAAGTAATAACGCACGGTGTAACGAAGCAATTTATAAGACGCCGCTATTCGCCATTTACATGTTAGACATCGTCTGCACTGATGGGGAATATACGACAGCGATAGCACGCCGTATCGTGTCTCCGAGCACTTACCGCTGTAACAGGTTTTCGTTACTTGAATTAATTCGCTACAAACGCACACCGTCGCGGCAAGTGCGGCTCTCGATTCGTGCCTATGTCTTTAGCCGAAGTATATAGCGTGTACTGCAAATTTGCGTCCTGCACGCTGCGCGGAATTCAAAAGGGAAAGTTGAAGAAGCTGTAGCATCATAACGCGCATATACATTGTTGCTATTAATTTAGAAATACATTTGAGAATAATCATAATATCGAATAATTATCATGCGACAATTCAAACAGCAAAGTTTAAGGAACTTCTTGTAATTAAAATTTTTTCCAATTAAAACTTTCAGGCGGCGCAACTTTGCCTTTCTTGTTTATGTTACCTGAATATCGGTAACCATTTATCCTGAATTTTACTCCGCAGCGCTCTATTTTTCGGAGATTCTAATAAATTGTACCGTTAATTGAAACAAGCTAACTTTTCGGTGCAAGCAAGGACACTTAAGTAGCTTCAAGAAACAATAACTTGCTCTTTTCTTTTGCTAAAATTGTGTAAATGAAGGGGGTATTATGATTATTGGAACACCCGATGTAGAGTACTAAATATAGCGTACACGTATGATACACATACAGTGATTATGCGAGGGGGAGAGAGTTGCCCGAAAGGAGATAGCAAGAGACTCGTAGTTGCGGTAGTACCTGCTAATTTAGTTAGTATACTGTTAGTAACTTAGTACCGTGACTAAGTGACACTCTAGGTCGAGGAGGTCACTTAACGGCAGAGAGTTCACTTGAAGACCGAATAACCTTACCAGAAACAACCCTAAACCACCCGTGACGCCGAGTAAATTTGTGGTCCCGAAAGTAGCGTTTACATGTGTACAGACGGATTAATTACACACGCTCAATTAGTTAGACGATATCAGACACTCGAGATCAAATGCGAACTTATTAGCACGAAGTGCACTCGAAATGCTCAAACTAATTGGAATTGATGTTCTCCATTTTTTTCATTAAAGTAATTTGTTCATTAGCGTTTAATATCGATAAAGTTTTAATCCGCGCGATTTAATATGAAAACCGTTCTATTGAAACGTTAAATCTTCGACATTGAATAAACGGTGTTGTATGATGCACCACAGGATATGATGAAACTACAGGAGTCGTCAAATTTATTGTGACCACGCGCAGCTCGCGAGGCAATGAGTGAACGACGCGGTCGCTCCTCCACGCGAAACATACATTTCGACGCATAAATTAATATACGTAGGACGAGTACGACGTGTAGATATTGCGGTTATGAATATGCAAACATTCCGGCGCAATGCCGCCACGCCGCTCTAACAAACGAACTATAATATTGGCACCGGATATTCCCCGCGTTATCCTTTGCAGTTAAAGTTCAAGTTACGAAGGATACCAATTTCTCAGAGAATTTTATAATAAGTTATAAAAGTGTAATAAGTTTTTACCGCTATTGTCAGATGTAGTCATAAGATATGGGAACTTAATATCGTGATCACTTGAGATTCTATGTCGTAAAATTTTGACAGAGTTACACTGTAAAAAAATTCGGTAAATTTACAATATTTATTTAGTGTATTTTGTTATTTATTATGTAATCATTACATCTTATTTGTGTAAATTTATTGAATTTTTTTTACAATGTACGCTAAATTTAAAAATTTTAAAAATTATATGTAATTAAAAAAATTGAAAACGGCATAAAATTGCGTTAATATAATTTTGATATTCTGTATATTAATCTTTTTTTTCTCATTTTCTTTAATTCTTTTTATTATATAATTTACCATTTGCCAGATCAACTAGTGCGTCCAATGCTACGTCGAGGCCAGTCTCGGCTGACAATTCCGCCTGCACAGGTCTGCCCAATAATTCCTCGACATCTGCAAAACACGAGACACTATTTTATGTGCTTGCCTATATTCCACAAATATTCCATTAACGTACAGACATTACGCATGCATATACAAACAACGAATATCACAGGCGCAATCCGCTTGACTTTTTAGGACATTTTAGGTAATACATTTTCGTCCCGTCAAAGAGATTTCTGTCAATCAAAGTCACAAAAATCCCGTGAGAGCACAAAATTATTAAAATATCAAACCAAAATAGATAAAGGGCGATGGGGCGCACGTTAAAAATGGACCATGATCGCCTCGGGCTAACGAACAACCATGTGACATCCATGTAGTATATAGATGCGAGCGACATTGTAAATCCAGTCACGTCGGTGCGTGGCAGTAATAATTTATCCACCCTGTATCCGCGTTGGTTATCGTCATCTGATAGGAATTTCAGGCCAATGCAGGTGGCTTGATAATACAGGGTCTTTGATGGTAACGCGGAAAATTTTTCGCAACAATTAAAAATGTATATCTCGCTTTGAAACAAGGGATTGACATAAAAATTTGAGGACAGATGACTGAAAATATGCATCGGTATAAATAATATCTAAAAAAACTTGTTTAATTTGCGGCACCTATCGATCTCGGCAATTCTATCTTATGATACACGCTTTTCGTATATAAACAGTCGAAAGAAGCCACACAGTCACGTTGTCGATAAACCGTATCGTTGTCGTTCGACTTGGCGTGCAGTACGTGATCTGAAATCTAGACGGTAGCGTGTATGCGCAGGCTTTGTGCTGGCAAACGCGCATAATGCCCATGGTTGCATTGCACTAACGAGCCCAATTTGCTCGAAGGTTGTTAACGTGTCAGCGACGATGGACCCATTACGCTACGATTATAGACTGCCGATAGCTCTCATTAGACGCCTATGCGTCTCTCGTCATGAGAAACGTCATTAGAAAATCGTGCCGGACATTGGCGCTTGGCACATCAATAATTTGCCCGTTCAATCTACGAACCGCCGACCATTGTCGAGAAGATGGATTAATAAATCCAAAATTACTGTTAATTTGATATAAGCTGTGCAACATATTATTTTTATCTTTTTCAACTAATTATTAATTTTTAAATTAAATTCGTAAATCCGCTTTTACAAGACAGATTAAGATTTAATTTTCTTATCTGTTTAAGCAATTAAGTAACTCCCGAGATCAGAAAATTTTAAATTGTTAATAGTGTAATCATAAAAATATAAAAAAGGCGCACACAATTTTTTTCCCGACAGAAAATTATTTTAATTATTACCTTATTACATATTTTTCCCGCAATGCTATAGAGACGCAAGTTTAATCAATTTAATCGTTATGTCATTTGCAGCAAATAAAATTATTACATATGTGCAAGCGAAAAATGATATAGAACATAAAATATCTACCGGTTATTTTGTGAGAGTACGGTTAAAAATATTCCAATCTACCGGTAAACGAATGGACGTATCGTAAATATAAATGTGTTTATAAGTCAAGCGTTATACATCATCCGTCATTTAACTAAAAATATTTCTGCTTGCCACATACAGTAAATTACTCTGTCGTGATATCGCGTAGAAAATGAATAAAAAATAATCGGACAAAACAAAAGCTTTTAAAAATTTAAATGCTATAATTTCATGTTTACCTTTGTCAGATTTCATTAACTGCAAATATTAAAAACTCAATGACCTAATATTGTTCCTCATTATTCATATATTTATTTATTTTGCTTAAAAAACAATTATATATTGTTCAAGTATTTACGATGTCAATTGCAATATAATTTTTCATCGAAAAATTTGATGATAGTTTAGCTTTAAACTAATTCTGAAGTGATAATGCAATTTGATTGATATATAAATGTCAGATTTATGCATGTCATTTTCGATTGACGGTTCAAGTTTCTTCCATTTGTCGCGTTAAACGGTCGAGCAATGTTAAACCGTTCGTTTGCAGCCACATTTGCGGTCACGTTCGTGCGCGTGGTAAAATTGATTAAAACCGGGATCGCGTAGACCATTTTAACGCTGAATACGAGCCTACGGGTTTAGTGGGAAGAGTTAGCCAGTTTGCGGCTACGTTTCAAGAATCAAGAGCAGGGAGTCGCTTACAACTGAGTGCTATGTTGCATCAAAGTAGTGGAGTTCCAGCAATCGAACCGCAAGCGGTTCTCCGCTTTCCACACTTGACCTCCTCCGGAAATTAGTTAATCGGCTGCGAGCTGTATTTTCTATTGCCACTAACAGTTACGTTACAAAGCAATCTCTTTTTTTCAAGTATTTTTTTTCTCAACTAAAGAAAAAATGTTTTCTTAAAGAAAAAACGAAAAACTAAGAGCGTCATTTAAATGTTAAAAATGCGCAACTTCTATTGAAAGATTCTATTTATCTCATTTTAAGCATTTTGTATAATACTTTCAAGTGAGTATCTTTTTAAAGCTCTCGCATTATATAATTTTATTATTTCTTTTTTCTTAATTCCTAGTTTCTCGTGTCTTTTTGATACTTTTCACGTCGACCGTAACGAGCGAAGGTAAAAAGTCTGGAAGAAGCAGCACACTTAAAACAGAGCGCAATTATAGCAACTCCGACGTGGATACGTTTCTGTTGATAGTAACGATAAGAGGATGTTCGGTAAGCGCCTCAGGATTTCGCGTCTGTTGTTGTTAGTATTGTTAAAGTGTAAAAGTGGGTTTCGCACCCCGTCTTTATTAGACGCGACAAAATGGAGCACTGTTTTTGCCCGAAGAACTTTCCGCGTTTAGTGTCTTAATACTGCGAGAAAGAAAATTTCACTCACTGTCCAGATCGGCGAGAATCGCCTCGCTGGCCACGTCCAGGCTCCTCGTGAGGCACTTTCGTAACTGCGACGTGGTGTCCGCATGGTAGTCCTTTAAATCCTGCAACGCCGTCTCCACTGCCGTAGGAAGCTTTCCGATCCCCGCCGTCACCGCCTCGTTGCATATTATCATCGTCACCATGCAAGACCTTGGAGCCACGCGCGAAGGATTATGAATAACGTAGTGAGTGCTTACTTTAGGTAAAAGGTTTTCCGGCGTCGCGATAAGACGAATAGCCACCTTACTTAGATCTCTTCTCTCGCCCGCCTAACTTCATTTGTACGCGCCGCACTTCTTCATCCAATATTAACTCATATTGTAATTGTTGTGAATATTTGTAAAAAAATAATCATTAACTTCTTTCGCGTACAGTTTTAATTTTTTGACTGTCATTGAAAGTCACTCGGAATAAAACGACGTAAATGTAGATTTGCAAAGAGACGTATTAGGATTATTTCAACAAGTTATCGTACAAGTTAACGTAATTGTAGGAATTTTATCACTGCTAAATTCGCGACGATTACATACTCACGGAACGTAATCAAGAAGGACGGAAGAATCTGAGAACATGAGTAGGGTTGGAAGTGGAGGTAATAAGTTTTCAGAGCGGCGTCTAAGAACGGAGAATCGTCATAGGTCCTACCCGAGTATAAAGGCGAGAACGCCGAGGAGAAATGCGAGAACACCGGGATACCGAGACGGTTTGTAATCCTCTCTGATTGGACGACAGGCGAGCCAAAGTTCCATGCAAGGTATTATGCAGGCCAGTACGCAGCACACGCCTACTAAGCCGAGGAAAGCTGCTTCCACGTGCACAGACTGTAAAAGTTAGAACGAGAGGCTTGTCAGAAACTTAACAGTAGCATCTGCGCGATATCGGATCGCGAAAATTATGTATCGCGTACGTCGGATCGCACGCCGCAAGAAATTCTCTTCCTTAAATTGAGACGGAAGCATCGGGAGCTCTCGACTGCGAGACTTTAATGGATGATGCTACCTTTAATAATCCGCTCCATCAATTGCCGGCAGCTAAATATTTCTGTACTCCCAACACGATTTTGCCTTACCTGCGAGATCAATTTAGTGGCGCTTATGCGATTTTCCACGGCGTCCGTTAATAGATCTGTAACGAGCGAGAAGAATTATAATTCTCTCTCTGCATCGCTAATTGCAAGTATAGCGCTAATAGTTTGATAGCGCGCCGAGAGATCTATTAAGCTTGAATTACTCGGCGAACCGAGAGAGATATCAAATTGTCGGATAAAACGTGAATAAATTGGTGCGTTAATAATGTGCAATATTTGACGAATTAAATAAAAAAAGACCGATGCTTTCTCTTTTTGTAGCGGTATCAATTTGATGTATTGATGGTTATTGATTTCTGTTTTTCACACAAATGAAAAATTTTTTTATTAAGATTCGCAATTATCTATAAAAATTAATAAACCATTAATTGAAAATATATTTAACGTATACTCGAGCGTATAAATCGAGCTTTGTAGCGTTTCATGTGTGACAAATATTTTTTTTCCTTTTTTTATAAAATTGCTTTGTATGAATTATCGACATGGCCGGACAGTTTGCGAAACAGTGACTATTTGATTTAAAAATGAATATGTTGAAAAATGTATATTTTTAACAAAAAAAACATACAAAAGAGAGCGTCACAAAAACAAAGCGCGCGGAAACCTCTTACAATCGTTTTATACTTTACCGATGGGTAGATCGTAAGGTTGCACGATAGATAAAAAGCCCCGGAGAAAATCGAAGACGAACCATCCCTTATCGAGATGCAAACTCGCCATCTTGTAACGCTCCTCCGTGGCAAATTTCGGGAATTTCAGCTTCGGTTTCACGTCCCAATCTTTGGGCGAGGTCAACGTCCGCGGATGCGACACGTTCGAGTTGTTCTTCGTACTGTCTACAAGCACGTCCGCCGCCATCATGTCCATCTTGCTCTCCCGCGTCTCGTTTGGGGAGCGAAGAATGAGCAAGCTGTCGGTGGTCGAGCAATTGTTACCGCTCGGGGTCGAATCAGTCGAGACTGACTCTTGAGCCGTGCACGCTCTCGAGCCAGCGGCAACCAGAAGGAATACTGCAAGTTTTTGTAATTTAAAGTAGATCTCGCTTTGCTGCTCACAAAGAGACAGCATCGCAGATTGAAATAAAAATTTACCAATCTCAAAAAATTAATCAAGTATACAAATAATTTTGATATAAAATTCAAAAAGTTATAATTTACATTTATGACACTAAATCTTTTTCTATCGCGGTAGATATAACATATGTATATATTTGAAAAATCTTGTGCGTAAACTATCGAATTGTCGCTCCAACTGTTTCCTTGTTTAATTTCACTTAGTTTGTAATTAAATTTCTTCGCGTAGCAATTGAATTTTAATATTCGACAAAGCATAATCACGAAAAGCATCACAGGAAGTGGTGTTCAAAATTGGAAGACATTGAAACGTTATGGTTGGTGATTATAAGGCACAAGTGGAGATGCACAAGCCTTGGATTCGCGATTTATTGCTTGTAGCACAGCTTTTACCACCGAGGCATTTCAAATAAATCGTTGTTTCTTGTTGTGCTCCTTCGCATTGAATCTTCCCGAGACTGATATTTTCGAAGCGTTTCGACGAAAGCATCTTGGTGCAATAATTAATTTTATGTTGACGCGTAATGAAAAAAGATAAATATAAGATGCAAAATGCTCATGCCTCGAATTACGGTCATTTTCCATTTGAGTGTCGCCATTTTCCGACGTTTTCCTCCATACGATAATCAGAACTGACAACAGTCGCGTCCCTATTGAATCGCGGTTAAAGGCAGACTGTCATCTCCAGTATTTGTAGAGGCTTCCGCGAAACCTCGCAAGTGTGGATGTTGTCGAACCACCTCGCGGAGACAATGAGCTAGATGGGGGCCAGACGAGACAGACGGTGTCGATAAAGCTCGGAAATTATTCAGGGACGCGACGTAATTAGGTCATACAAGAGATTTAGCTAATAAAGTAACAATACGAATGTGAAAACGTATCCTACGAGAGAGTTTTGCAATGATATAGCGTATCTAACGTATTTAGTTACCAATTTAATTCTGAAATTAGTGCAGTACATGTAAGTAAACTTTCCAATAACTGTAATCAAAAAGACTAAACTGCATCAAGCTGTCTAGTAGTTTGTAATATATCGTGCGGGTGTTTCGGACGTATAATATATGCATCGAAAAATGTTTTGCAACATTTGGCTTTCCGCTAAATTAGGCGCATAATCGCTGACTCAGGCAATCGTGCAACGACGAATAAACTTCAAAATAGTGTTTTACGTTACGAGTGAAAATCAGTTTTCGCGTAGTTCCTGTATAACATTATCCATACGACCCTAACTTTCTCATTTAGTGCACATCTGCATTTTGCGCAATATGTACTTGGTTTATGAGAACGTTAATGCAGTGTCGGCCACAGATTTATTTTTATACAATATATAGTTTATGGAAAGATGTTAATGCACTGTTGGTCACAGATTTATTTCATCTGGTCAAAAACACTCCGCTCGAAAACAGTCTGGCTCGAAAAATTACAGTGCTATCGAACGGAAAGTTAGTGAAACTTATCGATGAAGTTTTTACTTGCTTTATAATTTGTTACACAAGTTGCTTACAGTAGGTAAAATTAATGACGCCACTATTTCAAACCGATTTCTATCTTAAACAGAAATATAAAACAAAAAAATACCAAATATACTTTTACATCCATAATTAAAAAGTTGTTAATTCTTTATTAAATACTAATATATTTTTTAAATTATATTTATTAAATAAAATTGATATACTTGTGTCAATTAGAAAAGCATGAATCAAAAGTAAAATAATTTTTATTTTTATTTTTAAATAAAAACGTTTTATCTTTGATTTGATTTCGTAAATGAACACCATTAGTGACATTTATACACATATATTCTATTCTGTTTCAATTATTATGAATTGTAGTTATGTGTTGAGTGCACATGCGATGTATTATGTTTCAACGCTTTGTCCTTTAATGTAGATCACAAATATACGTACGTAAATAAAAATATAATTAATGTAATATTAAAACAATTTTTATACATGTTATTCTCTATTTTTTATCATGTTTATACACTCGTCTGATTAATATAATTTTTACTACTGATTATGATAAACTGTATTATATGTACACATAATAATTTGCAATGTGATATATTGAACATTATGTTATGCGTCTAACAAATTAATATTAATTTAATATCAAGTCTAAAAACATATAACATATGAAAATAAAAATGATTGGCTTGGGAAAAAAATAGATAAAAAAATTGCCCTGCGGTAATTTCATTACTCTTCGCAGCGAAAATGAAATACAAAGGAAGATATCCCCCGAGAGTCTCACACATCGCTTTAAATAAGATAGAAGACAATTTTCCGTAAGAAAACGTGCATATAAATTTTAAAGGGTCGAATGACAATATATCGCCCGGAGGGATTATGTTTATCTTCTCGGCTATGGTCAACTCACGTATATACCTTGTAGGACGGGACTGTTTTACTGATAAAAGCCTTGAGCTGCAGCAAAATGGCAGATATTTGCGTAAAAATAATGCAAGAAAGAAGCAAGCATGAAGTATCTTTTATAACTTTAAAGGAAAGTATTCGTACAAAACTTTTAAAAAGGTAATGCAAAAAATCGCGTTTTAAAAATTGATCGATATTGGGTATTTCGTGGTTTAATCTTTAATAAAAATACGATTTACGCAAACTTTATCATATTTTGTGATTCTAACAGTTTCGTTTTGCTTGCTACACACTTGTGAAAACGACGAGACGAATACTGGCTTACGCTTAAACTTCACGTCGCAGATAAACCTCCGAAGAACGGAGATCAGGCGATTGTAGTCTGTTTTATTGTTCACCGATTTCTTGTTACGAAATCGTCAAGTTGAAGCACGTCTTCACAGATTATGGATAAACGGCGATAACGAACTCGCAAAGCGAAATTTCTTATCAAACGCTGATAATTCACGATTCATCGAATCTATTTAATTATTCGATAAATTCTTCCGTGGAATATTTGCAAGAAGTAACTCACAATCAGAAAATACGTTCAGAATACGTCGAAAATGGTATTAGTGATTGGAATTCTTATTTAACACTTGTTCACTTTTCTTAGATAGCGTTGTAAGATTCACGTGAAAATTTATCGTAATATAATAAAAAACATTGTAAAAATTATTTAACTTAGTTAAATAATGAGAAATAAATTCATTCGCGCTTTCTACATTTAATGTCAATTTGCGAATCTCGCTCGGAAACTTTAGATATATTCTTATTTCAACATTTACTTACTTATTATAAAAGTTTGCCGAATTTTAAATGCATATTTGCGTAGAAATTGGAATATATAAAATAAAATAAGAAACAAAGTTAAATCAGTAATATTATCATGCGTAAAGTTTTGTATATTTTACTAACGAAATTTTTAATTTCACGAACTTCAAGGCAAATTTGCGATTCTTCGTCAGCGTGTTTGGCTTAAAGTATTAACTGCGCAATGTCTAATTGCAAATAATTATACAATTCAATGTAAAAAAAGACAAGATATTGCGCTAAAATATGTTTAAGTATATATTTTGCTACAACTGCAAATTTATAGCTTTGATGCAACACTTGGAATAACGCGCTACTGTGCACATCGCGCACTTCTATTTAGATTTTTCTCTTTCGTGAAATCTGAATCGTCGCGCAGTTTGATCCTTCTTCGCCCGATAAATTCCGTTTCTACGCGGTTAACCTTGTGTGGACGAACGACGGAGCGAGGATTCGAACTCACATATAGTTGCCCGCAGTATGTGGTACTAGAATTGGGTTGACTTGGTGGCAGCGGTGCCCAACCGCGGCTAAATCTTCGCGCGGACAAAGTGCGAGATTACTTTCGTCGATCGCGAATGACTGGGTGCTTGGCAGTAAACCTCTTCCATCAGCAAATGGGTTCTTTTTACTGTTATACGAGGGTATATACTCGCTCTCTTAATTGGCTGTACTGTAATTCCTGTTCCACTTCTCAAAGCAATTCTCCCCTAAAACACGGCTAATTACGTAACATGGCTAAGAGCAAATATTTCGACATCTGTAACATTTCATATCAAGGATGGATCAGTGATATAAACATTCAATTTAATATACGGAGAATATTATGCGAACCGGCAACGTTAATAGAGAAATAATATATCTTCCGTCGGAATCTCTCTGCGTGTGCATAGTCTTTGACTATAAATTCAAGAAAAATGTTTGATTATGTTTAATTTAATATGCTTCATAAATTTTTACCATTACACAAAATAGATAAGGATAATTTATTAAATATACCGTAAATCCTTTATACTTGTACAACCATCGTACGGCAAACAACATTACTTTATTGTAATCATAACATTTAACTCTTCTCTTTTTTGAAACTATATATAGTAACTTTCATGAAACAAAGTGCAAAGTACGATATATCAAGGATAATTTAAAATATTATTATTTTACTCGTATTATTGCATGTGAAGTAGTTAGAAATATATCGTGATACTTGCTAAGAGACATGAATACTGTAGCGTTTAATAAGTAAACACTATTGTACGTTATTGTAATAACATTTGTAAATAATACATAATTTGTCGTAAATATGATATCAAATAGCAGCCATAATTTGTGATTCTTTTACAAGAGAGTCTGTAATCACATAATGTTGAACAAAGGTACGATAAAAGTACAAATACTGAAAACTTGTCGAGATATTTACTCGCAGAAAACGTGGGTTACGGTTATCAAAGAAAAATAACAATAATTCAAGTTAATTAATTGATTGCAAGCTCGAAAGTGGCTTTAATCTAGAGTACGTTTTTTGAAACAAAAATTGAAAAAAATTATTGTTGATTAAAACCTTATATTCTTGTAATATCGAGAATATTTATATTAAACCCATATAAGTTATTTATACTCTATTATTTTTTGGAATTCATAAAAATATATATAGCGTAAATTTATCTTCATTTTATGTGCTCAAGTAAGTATCAGTTTTTACATAATTATTTTAAAAGAATAAGCTGTTGATTTACTATTCGCAAAGCGCAGCGAAAAAAATTTTGACCACTGCAGTGGCACTCGCTAATAGAAAATAACTACTCTCCGTATCCTCATTTGACGTTGTTACACGTATTTTATTATTTTAAATCGTGTAATTATATATTTAGATTTTATCTGACAGTATTAAATCATTTAATTGAAATAAAACTCTGTAGTTATGCGATACGCGCTGAAACATAAAATATGCGCGCTCGGATTTGAAATATGCTGAATTTCCAAATATATATTCGTGCGGAAAGAAGCACTCAAGTAATTATATTATTTCAATCACAGAGATGCATGTACATACTTCTATAAGTCACTTCATCAAGGTATAAAGTGCACTGTATAAAGTGCGACCTCATTAAGCAGTCTCGTTATCCCCATACGGTGGATACAAGAGCACGCCCAGAATATGTTACATAGTTTATGCTGCCTCCATTTTATACCTGCCTTTCGTCCTTAGACAATGGAATTTTCAACGAGGGAAGTTTCTGGTGAGAATTTTCCCGATCCCGAGCTTTGTTATACGCGCGCAACGTCACCGACGTCGTCGGAAGTGTGCCGCGTTCTTCGACGCGCGCGATTCTCGATCAACCGAAAGCGAGGATACGTAAGGGGTGTTCGCGAGCAAACGGGTGTGTGGATGAATTTTGGCACGGCGGGTGTGTGTCGGTGCAGTTAGAAGATCGCGAGACTGGCTGCATCCTCTCCCTCTCCCTTTCTCTCTCTCTCTCTCTCTCTCTCTCTTGTTTCTCTCTCGTCCCTCCCACCCCTTCCCTTCTTCTCTGTCTCGTACTCTCTTTCTCTCTCACTCAGCGCGACTACTATCGGGAGCACCCAGGCGGGCAGTCAGTGCGTCGTCAGCCTCCGCGTCGTCGTGACGCTCCACTCTCTCTCTCTCCCTCTCTCTCTCGTTTCTCTCGGCTCTCTCGGTGGCGTCCGCAGCATCGCGACGCTACGACGCGCTCCGTCGACTATCCTATCGGGAGAGACGCCGTCTCTTTAATTTTCCTACGATATATACGAGCGACACGGACTTGATTATTGATAACGATCGCAATAGGTGACATTGTAATAATAAAAAAAATATTTGTTGCTGCACTTTGAAAGTGTTTCAATCAGCACAAAAATTAAAAAAAAGTGCCGATAATAACTACGTTGATTGTAGAAAATAGAAAAAATGGTTAGTATCTCGGCTTATTATTTCTATGTGGGAAAGAATTTCGTAAAGAATATAGATGAGATGATTTTCAGCGGCGTACGTTAAATAAAAGGATTAGAAATTAAAAATTTCATGACTATTTACATTTATGAGATTAAAATAGATTTCAAATATTTATTAATATCTTTTGCGCGGGATTTAAGAAAGTTTGTAGAACTGTACATTAACTTTTAAGGGAGCACTTCTTGAGACGTAATATTCGCGGAAGATTGAAGCTACCGTGCATCTCTTAAAAGTTCACTACAGTATCTTTATTCCTTACTTTTCGTTGCATATTTTATATCGAAGGGAGCACAGCGCGCAATTTATTACTTCGACGTAAAACATTCTTTGTCACGAACGAAAATAGAAGAACGGGAGATTGAGTGACGATAGTACATGCATTTCCTACAGAGGAGTTATTAAAGGCACGTCGAAGGCGCCTTCTCTCGTCGATGGGTGAACAGAAAAGCCAAATCGTGAAGTTTTACCAGACGTGATCCATCTTGGTGTCCCGATCGAGTGATCTATCGGATCTCACCGCAAAACGTACTGCAGCCCTTCAGGATTCCTCGCCTCCGAGAGTCACGCACGAACGTTCTTCCTCCCTTTGCCTTCCGGCGCTTCGCGTACTCGCTCAAGTCTTATCGACACTCGTGGATTTACTACTGCCAAGTACGTATCTAATTGCACCAATTCAAGCTGAATCTCTTTATTTCGCATACCATATAGGTTAGCGCAGGAGTAAAATTGAGTGAGATGTTTTTGTTAGCTTACCTTTTTTCTCTCCTATCGATGCATTTTCTCCGTCCTGTATGTGTCATAAAAAAATAGATTTATAGCTTTACATACCGGTGATGTTACTTCGCAATTTATCATCGTTATCGTACATTTGCAAGAAGAATTATTCAAGTTTTACTTAAAAATATGAAATAATAAAATTAATGTTACGATTAAGTTGCGATAAAATATGCAAACTTCGTTGCTTATCATAATGGAAAATTCTTGAAAATTTTGTTCAAACTTGACATTTCTAAAATTCATACCGCACCTACATAGCTAGCTTGATATTGTCTCTGGAAGTGTTCATCATCGTACATCTTTTTATTCGGTCGTTATTTCTATTGGTGTCTACAGCTGCACTTAAGATATTAAATTACACACACCGTGCTGGCGTTAAGTCGTAAAGAATTACAGAAGCCAGAAGTTTCTGTCTATGTTCTTTTAAGTCACAAATCAACGGAATGCAGCAAAATTGTGCAATTTATATTTTTAAAAAATACACGCAAAAAGGGGAAGCATTATATAATTTTAATACTATCGTCGTGTGATATTTTATTAATAGATCTAAATCGTATTTTACTAGTGCTTTAATGACGGGGTGTGCGAAGCAATATTGATCTTATATCGTTTGAAAGTTCTTGTTATTCCATCCAAAGGATATATGTAGTTTAGAGATTGATACAAACTACGCAAAACAGGACACCATAACTTGGCAGATATCGAGCGATACGCTTGCAACACGTCTGCGGTTACGAAGCAGTTTGATCGTGTTGTTGCTTACAGTTCTCTGACCAAGTTTTCAAAACTTTCCCCGCAACCGCCTTTAATATTAAACGATTCCTCAGATCCGGGATAAATTTAACGAGAGATCAAATCGTAGGAGTTTTCTCGACTTAAATATCTTTAACGATATACGATTTTTATTTGATAATTGCTTAACTTTAATCATAATAGCTTGATAAATCAAAGCCTTACTGATTTCTATTCAGCACTATTTCAATGAATTTATTACGGTAAATGAAAGTTGTATATAAAATTTATACGACTTTTTAAAATAATTTCGATTGAAATATTTCAGTCTCTGCTCTGCTTTAGTGAAAATTATTGCGTTGGCAGAATTCACTGACACTTTCAACAGAACTTTACGTTTATTTTGGTATATTCAATTCAATCAGCGCAGCGTGAATTTAATGACGCAATATAATTGCTAATTGATATTGCAAAAACGTGACCTTTTCTATCTAATGTAGTAATATTGAATATTACATTTATTACAGTTATAAATTATTACTCATGTAAATTGAAAACAACTTGTGTATTCCTAAATAAAATCAATAGAACCGCTTGATAATTTCTTCCATTTTGATGAAAAAGGTTTCTCTCTTCCTGCTCCGTGACAAATTCAATATATGGAAATAGCTGCATTCATCAAAAGCTACGCTTCAATTTGTACTTGTAAACGTCTCACCTTAATGGTTTTCCAGCAGCGTCGTTGCTGATGGCTGGTCGTTCTAAATTGATCGTGAGTCCCGTGCGCGTGATATCCATTTCAGCGAGCTGCGATGGAATTTATTACATTTTTCCACGATCATCGATTATGACGGAAGTGGCTTCTCGGGAATATTCAGCATAATTTAAGTGCGGCACGAAGGGCGTATAAGTATCGTTGTTTTTTAACTACTTCTTCACTGTATATTTTTAGTTTTTTTACTTTTTCTCGCGAGACAGTGTCTCGTCATCTGTGCGTATACAACGACCATTCGCAGATCTCCATTTACGTCGCAAAAGGTACTTGCGTTATATGATGTACTCTCCTCTGACCGTTTTAATTAATGATTTTACCGTAAAACGCTGCGCATTGCCCCTCGCCTAGGCAAAACTTGGAACGACCTTTATTTTACGAGGCGCGAAACTCGTTTGGGCGGAATGCTTCCATTTCGTGTCTATTTCCCGAGGAAGCAGAACGCCAAGAATGTGTCTCATTGGGATTCGATAGCGTCGCTCTTATGATATATCTTATGATATATCTAATAGAATTACAAAGACTACGTGAGGAAAGAGTCAAATCCATAAAAGCAACGAGACTTCGAAAAAGTGTCGAAAGATAATCATATCAATTTCATTCAAGCATACTTAAGATAATATATAATTTTTAGAGACTTTAATTTAACATATTTAATATTAATAATTGTAGTACGCACATAATATCGGCAATATAATCAATATATCACAAATAAAAAATATAATTTCTCACAGATTTTAATAAATTTAAAAAAATAGTAACCAAAATTTTTACAAACAAGATATACAAGTAAACAAATAATTAAAATAATAAACAAACAAAATATAATATTTTGTACGTTTGCTAAATTTTTTATTCAATTAAAATATGTTAAATGATCTTTATAAAATTCGCGTTACAATATTACAAAATAGCATAAAATAGAAGTATTATGAAAAGGTAAATTGTCATTACAAAAATATATAATTATTTGCCGATGAGAGGCGCGTGTATGACTTTTGCGGAATATTGCGAGCTAGTATTTCACTGATAATTTTTACGGCTGAAACTGGCGGGTCGCGCTTAAATGGATCACGGTGAATTTTTACGGATTTGTCGTGTGCACTCGATAGGCAGATAATATAAATTGGTTGTGAATATTAATCGCGACATACAGCAGTAAGCATTGAGTGTAAACATTTAAGCCGATGACGATGTTATGCAGAACAAGGATCGCATATCGCCTTTATTGGTAAAATTTGTTTTAGTTTATTCTTCTAATTCTACATTATACAATGCATCTATAAAAATGCATTTAAATCTTAGATATAATATTTTTGTTGTTTAAAAGCATGCAAAGAAATTTTCTTATTTTGCGTACAAAATTACTTTTGAACACTTTGACATTTATATAAATATTACAAACTTTCTTACGTCTTATACATTTTATTAAAAATAAATGATATATTTATTATTTATTTTATAATTGAAGTAATTTATTAGTTTAATTTATTTTTTTATAAAGCTAGCGATGCTCCAAGAAATATATGTATCATGCTGATTATACATATTCCTTGGAAAGTCTGCTACTGACAAGGTGACTGACATTGGAATTAAACTTTAACTCAATGCGATATGCAATATCTTATGCTACTGCAACTATAATCATATTTTGATTTGATATTGACATTTGGACCATTTTAGATTTCATTCGAAATTTACTGTCTTTATTGCATTTATTATTATATAAACAAATATTATTTTTCAAGGTGTTAATTATATAAACAAATGTCATATTTCAAGGTGTTAATTATATGTGCTAATTATTCCGTGTGCATTATTTGACACAATTATTTGACACAAGGCGATAAAGCCTTTTTTATTTTATACTAATTTGCTAATTATTTAATTATAACAAAATTTTGCTTCTTAATAATTCCTACTTAGAGCACTTTTCAACAATTCAGTTATCATTTTACATTTACTTAATCTTGAATCTAATTTACGTAATTATGAATTTGACAGTGCTATACAGGAAAGAGCAAATTGCGCTTGAACATTACACTTTGATGTTATGTATGTTGAAGGAGGAGCAAGCATAACGCAGAAAATTATGTGGTCTGCGGACATTCATGCGATATAACTTGATAATCCGTACATATACGCTTGAACTCGCCGCTCTACGATCGACATATGTGCGAAATGATATGGAACCACAATTTTGTTATCTTCCGTGAATAAGAATTATTAGAGACAAATGCCAACTGTTTAATGAGATTCCTGATTTATTTATTCGTCATAACATTAATCGTTGCATAAAATAATGTTATTATGTAATAATTGAATAAAATTTGTTAATGGATAATTGTGAATAATAATATTCATTTAATGCAGATATAAATAGAATTACCGCGACACGCAGGAAATGATTAAACAGTTGTAACGTGAGCATGCATTTTCGCATGTCCATCCATCACGATTATTTCAACATTTATGATCATTTAAACAACAGCTTGAATGAGTGATATATGTTTTAGGGAATATCATAATTTTGATATTCCTGTGGCGATAAAGCCTTTTTCAAAGTGAAAATCGATAATCACAAGCGCGCGGAATTTACAACCAAAAATTCCCACTTTATGTTCTATTTCGTTTTTGGGTACTATTTCGTTTATTTGCAATTGAAACCATGCTCGACCTTTCGGCCAATGAATACGAATATAAAATTGTAACAGCGCTACAGTTTTATTTCCAATTTCCGCGTGTACACAAATAGGATATCTGGCGTAAATCCACTTCCGCAGTAAGCTTTGCATAGTTTTGCAAGATAATATCCGTGCATTTCGTATTCAATGTATTCGCAGAACATTTGCCCCATGAAGTAAAACATCATACCCCCGTATACACGAATACCTTTAATACCTTGTATCACACGAACCTAAAATCCCGCTTTTCTATTAACCTCTCCTTATCCGATTAACGGTTTCTTCTCGCTAAATGTTCGCCTTGCGCTTTAGTATGCATGACCGTTATCACCATTGGGAATTCTGCGCCTCGAGTTTTCACGCTAATTGAAAGATGTAAGTAAGATACCTCCTTACAACGCAATTTCAAAATCATGAAAATTGATAACTTGATTATTGAACTTAATTATCCGCTTTTCCCTTTTCCGCTTTTTCTTTACTTTTACCGGCAATTGATGAAGTTTCTGGCGAGCAATTATAAGAATTGCGTTCAAAATAAGTTACGTTTTCATCTTTATTCTCAAAGCATTAGAGTAAAAGCAGTAAATAGATCAAAGTTAATTATTTCTTCAACGTTCTCGGGGTCTGTATTTATTTGCGTCTTTCGCTATTGATTAAGCTTCTTGTTATTATTAATTATGCCTGAA